CGGTCCGGTACGGGCACGACACTGAGGGTTGCGATCCGTCGCCGGACATGAAAAAAGACAAAAAGGAAAAAAAAAAAAAGTCCTCATGCCAAAATAAGCCAGGCACAGAAAGAGAAATACCACATGTCCTCACTCATAAGTGAGAGCTAAAAAATAAATAAAAAGAAAGAAAGAAAGAAAGAAAGAAAGAAGATACAACGATCACAATAATACACTGAACTTTCAAAAGGAGAGAACAGAGCTGAGGTTACCAGAGGTGGGAAAAGGGGAGGGTAAGAGGTGGTAAGGGAGGAATTGGTAAAAGGCCACAAAAAAATTGTATCACGTTGGATATACTAATTATCCTGATTTCAGCATCATGTTTTGCACACAGGTATTGATATTCGACTCTGTACCACATAGATATGTACAATCAACTATGTAACAATTAAAAAAAAAAATCCTCACACCAAATTTGAAGACAAGCATAGTGGAATGGAACTAGTTTCCAGGCATCTTCCTATTATGCTATTTCTTTTCTTTTGGTCACACAACACTGACTATAAAAAGCAAGCTCAATATGCATTTCAAAAGACAAACAGACATCTCAGTACTGAAACAAACCCCCATCTCATTGATCTAAGAAAGAGCCAGGCTTATTCTCAGAATAATGTCACCCCATCTCAGCAACCTTATGAAAAGAATGAACCGCAACTGGCCACCTCTTCCGTTCATTTGTAAAATGAAATGATTTCTTCACAGAGGGACTCGTCAACTCTTCTATACCAAAATCATAAAATAATTAGCTAAAAGGTTTTGTCATTTAACTAGCAAGGTATATATATATATACTGTATTCTAAGAAGCCCACTTGTTCTGACTCTTGCTTTGCTTTCTTCAGCCAAGAACGTGGCAGCTTCAGAAGGCACAAAGTTGGGACTCTGGAAGGAGGCTTTGAGGGTGGACTCAGTGGAGAAAAGGTGGCCCACGTACTTCTCAAACCCCAGCAATGAATGGTCATCTGGGCCTAACTATATCCTTCTGGGATGGTCCCTCCCTAGGGACAAGGGCTCTGGGGAGGGCAGGTGAGGAGTGATGAGGGGCTTGGGACTGTTTCCAATCCCGGCAGGCAGCATCTGTCTCTGACCTTGGTAGACCTTGACTCTAGGATAGAAAAGTGAGTAGAGACTGGGGGATGACAGGCTCGCTTGCCTACAGGGGGATCTTAGGGCTCTGGATGATGACTAACCCTAAGCAGAACTGTTTGTTCTCTGGTGGCAGAGTGAAATCATTACAAATAGGAAAAGTGCTGCAACTACACAAACACAAACAGAACATACGCAGCATCATCTTTTAAGCTGGCCTTTGTGTACCAAACTCTACATAGAAATTATAGACTTTGGAATTACATAATTTGCTTACTGGCAATCCTACAGATGCAGGGTATCACTTAGCAGTTATTTTTTATGAAGCACCTGCCAGTTGCCAGGCTGGAGAAGCAAGGGTAAACAAGACAGAATGTAATCAGAATGAACCAGAAGATAAGCTCGCTGCGAACAGCAATATTCATCTGCCATGTTCACTACTGTATTTCAGTGTCTGGCACTTAGCAGATACTCACTAAATGCGTGCTGAATAAATGACTGAAGCAGACATGGTTTCTGTCCTCATGGAATTTACAGTCCAAGAGTGCAGTAGCTGTCCAAGTGTGCAGCACAGACAAGGGGTCAAGGCACCAGGGCTTGGTCCTGGCTCTGTCACGAATTAGCTATAAGACCTGGGGCAACATATCTGGCTCTTTGGGTCTGAAGTAATAAATGAAGGCATTTGACACAATCTTCTCTGAAGAATCACTTTAACATGCTGTAATTCTAACACCCAACAATGCATCTGCTAGGATTTTTACAAGTCAATAGTGTTATAAAAGGCACTTGAGATAATATTAAAAAAAAGATAAAGTCTTGTACTCCTTGGGAGTACTCCTTGTGATCTTAAACTCTGGTAGCGTAGAAAGCAGATCATATAGGAGACAAGTGAAACACGTACGTATGTACAGGATCCCCAGAAAAGAATCTCCAAGAAGGCATGGATGAGGAACGGTACATCAATGATCACAGGCAAAGATCAGAGAATAAGTGGGTATGATTAAGGGTCAGTTGTTGAGCTGTGATTTAAGAGGTGAAGGGCATGCTATGAGAGACATATGGTATCCACTTACCAGCCGGAATACCCCAGAAGTCCACACTGCCCACAGACATCAACCTCAAAGGCATCACTTGAAATCATTAGTCTCTCTAGCAGAAGCATACTGGCTCCATAACCGATTAAACAGTCGCGTTCCATTTCTCCAAGGCGCAAGCCACCATCACGAGATCGACCTTCAGTGGGTTGCCTTTGAAACAAGTTATTAGAGAAATGTGTTGTTACATTAAACAAAGAGGCAGCATGACATTTTGGCAAAGAGCACAAGGCTTTGGAGCAGGGCTCACCTGGATTCAAATCACTTATTAGACAGTGACCCAGAGCATGCTGCTCAGCCTCATTTGTAAAAGTGCATAAGATTACCTATCCCAAAGAGCCTCAAATGAGAAAAGATGTAATACCGGTGGCTGTTATTCCTAAATGAAAATAATATATAATTATATAATACTATATGATGTAACAATATATAATCACATAAAACACTATTACAATCACTATCATTGTTATTAGGATAGTATAGTCCTCAAAACAAGGAACAATGTCTTTGCGTTTGTCAGAGATGTCTCAATACTCTGTTATTTCAAAGCAGAAAAACTAAACAGAACAGACTGTGGAACAAACCTGGATCCCTTGGTAGTTTCTGCCAGGGACCAGGGGCTGTTTGTCCCTTGAATGGACTCCCTGTAGTTTATGTACGAAGAGTCTTCAAAAAGTTCATGGAAGGATTTGTATTAATTTTCAATTCTACTTATCCACAAACTCTCTGATGTACACTTATATGTGCCAGGCTTGAAAATACTTTAAAAGGTTAAGAGTCCAGGACCCAGAGATGTAGGTAAAATTAGGAGATTCTGAACAACTTAGGCAACACCACCTAGGTCCTGATCACACAATTTGTTTGGAAATTTATTGGCTGGCTTATTTTGGAGTGATACTTCCGTGAGCAGGGGTGGACTATAACCCCCTTGTTTGCTTTACTCAAGAGCATCTTTTAATCTCTGTTGTTGCTGCCACTCTCCCAAAGAACTAAGGTGAACACAGTGCATGCCACCACATGCTGAAAGTTTAACTTTTTTATTATTGTGGTTGAAAGTTACAATGGGAAATCAAATAATTTGCAGATTATTGTTGAAATAAATCCTACACATAAAAAACTTACAGGGGCTGCCCCGTTAGCTCAGTTGGTTACAGTGTGGTGCTGATAACACCAAGACCCAGGGTTTGATCCCTATACCAGCCAGCCGCCAAAAAAACAGACAAGCAAAAAACACTTAAAAATAGGTCTAAATGAACACACTACTGGACACTTCATAACCAAGCACACCATGTATACATTTTCATCTGCTGGTAGAATCATCCAAGGGTAGGCACTCCTTCTACCTGAGGTCACTGAGCAAGGTGAAGCTAGTCAGACCACATGTGGGCAGAATCCAAAACTAGGATTTTAACCAACAGAGATAACTAACCACAGACAAACGAACTCTAGGCGGTCTTCACATGGAAGACACAAAGCAATACCAAAGTAAAAACTTCTTTTACACAACAAAGCAAAATATAGGAAGTAACTGCTTTGACATTTATGTTACTCTGAGATAGTTTTTGGATGTTGTAAACAATGAAGTGGAAGTTTAGAAAGGGACAGCATTTAGGGGAGAAATACCCCTAACCCAAGTAGGGTCTCACTGTGGGGGTGATTACTATCTTGAGAATCTCAATTTCTCTCCCCTCTTCAGCAGTTTTAAGCACACATATGTCTATAATTTCAATAGACATGTGCATTTGCTCAGTTTTAAATAGTCGAGGGATTGAGTCGTCTACCCCTCTTGATTCAAAAAAGCAAAAATGCAACACTAGCTGCTTCATTTTTCCTCCCTCCCCGTCCACCATATTGTAACATCCAAGCAGTGCTCAGTGAAAGTGGGGAGGGAACCATGTATTTACTGAGCATCACCCATGGATCAGCACTGTGTACATTCTATATTCAAAACTTGACATTCACCGGCACCCTGTGAAGTAGGTATTATGGTCTCCACTTTATATGAGAAAAAGTGAAGCTGAGAGAAGCTAAGTGATCTGTTGAGGGCTCGTGATAGTGCTAAAAGTTGGAGATGAGCTCATATCCATGTCTATCTGGTGGCAAAGCCTAGCCCAGGAAGCTAAGTGATCTGTTGAGGGCTCGTGATAGTGCTAAAAGTTGGAGATGAGCTGATATCCATGTCTATCTGGCTGCAAAGCCTTGGTTACCTACCTCTCCTAGCCCAGGGTCCCTCAACCTCACTACTACTGACATCTGAGCTGGGTACTCTTTGTTGTGTTTGTTTAACAGCATCCCTGGCCTCTGTTGACTAGATGCCAGTAGCTCCTTCCCCACCATGTCTATCTGGCTGCAAAGCCTTGGTTACCTACCTCTCCTAGCCCAGGGTCCCTCAACCTCGCTACTACTGACATCTGAGCTGGGTACTCTTTGTGTTTGTTTAACAGCATCCCTGGCCTCTGTTGACTAGATGCCAGTAGCTCCTTCCCCACCCCTAAGTTGTGACATCCAAAAATGTCTCCACCTACTATCCAATGTTCCCTGGGAGGCAAAATCACTCCCAGATGAGAACCACTACTCTAGACTATGCTTCTCTAACTGGAAAGAGTAGTACTAAGAACATAAACTCAGTAGTTGTAATTCCCTTTCCCAACACATTTACCCATTCATTAACACACAGACATTGTGCTTGGCATTGAGGAAATACTAGTAAATGCGGCATATGAGCACCCTAATCCCCTTACCCCCCGGAGCTTATTCAAATAAGCACATAAGTGCAGGTGCCTTATGCTCCCCAAACAGAAGTTTTAAAAAAGTACAAGTGTGGTTTCAACTACCAAATAATGCATGTATGTGTTTTCTGTGTACACATGGGTACATGCAGGCGTATCAATTTGTGTGGGGGTATATACGTATATGCCTTCTTACACATGAACCTTTCTGAACAGTTCCATATTTGCAAACTAGTACACAGCAAATGGCTGTGTTAGGAGACCACTCACAGTACCTACAGTGGGTTTGCTCTTTTGCCTGTGAAATGATTTTTAATCAGTGTTTTTTTTTTTATATTAATCATACATATATGATTTTTATTGATGCCTAATACCCCAAATCTTGACATCTCAGGAAAACAGAAACTTTGCTGAATCTGCTTACTGCTCTGTCTGGAAAATGCATGGTAGACTTGACTGCACTATAAATTCTTCTCATAAAATGTTTTCTCTTACCTGGTAAGGACGGCTCGTGGGCCCCGGGCCCGGGCATGCATCTTATCCAGCACCATGTGTTTCAGCTTCTGATAATACACAGGGCCGAAATAGATGTATGCTTCTAAGGGCTCACTGAAAGAAAAGGTCAGTGTTTTGGGTTAAGAAACTGAATTTGGGCTAACAAGAGACAGCCTTTTCTAGGACTCAACTGGCAGGTCCTTACTTGGTTATGAAGAGGTTTATGACTGACTGGGTAAGAGTGATTTTCAGTCTGTAGTGAATGAAAAGGCTAGAGCTGAAAACATAAAAGTCCCACAGCTATATTAAAAGATGAATGGTTTTATAAAGAAATACGAATTTAAACAGGTTGTGAAATAGTATGTGCAGGATGACCCCTCCTTCAGAGCTACCCCTCTAGTCAGGCCATCATCCTTTCCTGCCTGGACTACCACAAATAATCCTCTAGTTGGTCTCCCTGCTTCTACTCTTATCCCTCAACAATCTATTCTTCACATAGCAACCCAGAGTGATTCCTTCTAAAATGTAAATCACAATAGGTCATTCTTCTGCTCTTAACTCCCCAATGATTTCCCATAATACTCAGAATATGTATTGCCAACATTTTGTGTCACGGCCATAAGGCCAAAGGTAACCTGGTTCCTGCCCAGCTCAGACTCATTTTCTGTTCCCTCTTCCCATCACTCATTCTACTCCAGTAACGCTGGCCTCTTCATCACTCCTCAAACACAGCAAGCCTGTCCCAGCCTCAGGGCCTCTGCACTTCCTGTTTCCTCTGCCTGAAACACTTCCACCAGGTATTCACAGGGCTCTGTCAAACAGTGCACCTCCTCAGGAAGACCTTCCCTGATCACCTTCTCTAAAGGAGTCCTCCTCCCACCCAGCATCTCCCACTGCACTGTCTCAACCTAACCCTTCAGCACACTTACTGCCTTTTGGCATTGTAGTATACGTTTATTATTTCTCTGATTACTGCCTGTCTTCCCCACAAGAAGTAAACTCTGCAAGGATAAACACTTTGTCTTTGCTGTCACTGTGGCTCTAGCACCTGTGACCCTGGCCTGGCACACAACAGGTACTCAATAAATGTCTGTTTCATAACTGATTTGATGAATCTTTAGAAAAACTGTAGTAAGAGTTTAAAAAGAAAATAAATATGTAAGCGCTTTGATAGAAGAAACCTTCTTTCTTCAGTCTGGAGCAGGAATACCAGGGGACTGATGCCTTTAAAATTTTTTCTGTCTCAGAACTAACTTCCTCAAAGGAGAGGAAGCATCAACATGTGCCATTTAATCCATACAGCAATCCATGCAGGGAGAACTGTCATCCCTATTTTGAAGATGAAGAAATTGGCACAGAGGGTCCACGAGGTTAAATAAGAGCTGGTGAATGGTGCAGCGGGGATTCAAATCTACTGCTCTCCCTGCCATGCAGGCTAGTCTTGAACCAGGTAAACTTTGGGCTACAGCATGATGTGAGAGTGGAAAGAGCAAAGGAAGCAACAGACACTGCAAAGGCAAATAAAATCATTTGGCCCCTGCCTGCTTGGTACACCTTATAACATTCTCAGCATCACGAGCAAAGGCTTTTACTGTCAAGCCATTCCACTGGTATAAGCACAACCAGAGGCTTGGAAGACATAGGAGTGGAGTGAAAGGCACAATGGAGAAGGCGTCAAGAGATCCTGTTTTTGTCCCAGTTCTGTCACATAATAAACTAATTACATGATCTCTCTACCTCAGTTTTCTTAGTTGTACAAGGTGGTCAGACCAAGGTTCTTTCCAGCTCTTTCCATGAAGAACGATCCTGTTCCTCAGTAATATGGTTGCTCATGATAGTCTTTATGGAACTCTGTTACCCAATGCTATTCCATCATCAACAGAATAAATCCACACCCATCTTTCCCTCTTAGCTATGTTCAAGAATGAACAAGGGACGAAAGCTGGTAGGTGGACACGTTTGCAGGTCTTTTGTGGAATTTTCAGCCAATAGGCTAAACAGTGCTTCTCAAACTTTGCCACTGAAACATATAGCAAAGAAACGAAAACTCTGGCTGGGGATGGGCCGGCCCAGTGGCTCACTCGGGAGAGTGTGGTGCTGATAACACCAAGGCCCCGGGTTCGGATCCCATATAGGGATGGCCGGTTCGCTCACTGGCTGGGCGTGGTGCTGACAACACCAAGTCAAGGGTTAAGATCCCCTTACCGGTCATCTTTAAAAAAAAAAAAAAAAAGAAAGAAACGAAAACTCTGGCTGGGGAATCAGGGGGAGGCAGTGTGGACTGGGACACAGACTATAGCTGTCTACAGCAAGCAGGATAAATCCATCCAGATCTTTCAGTACAATTATGAGTATGTTCAGCAAGGTCCAACAAATTGATCCTGTGGTTTTGCACACTTTCTGGTCAACATCTACATTATTTCTGGGTGGAGAAGTGAAGACTAAGAGGATCATTTTAGCAATGACAACTGTGTTTTTTGAAATGGACGCTTAGCTATTTTACTGAATCATCTTTGAAATGGACCATCAGTCTTTTCCTGTAACGTGATTTTTTTCATAACATCTCAACTATGATACACCTAAAGAAATCCATACTATTATAGTCTGAATAGATGATTTTTTAAAAAACTCCATATTTTTAACAGATAAAGATTTTGACCATTTTAATCACACCTAGAGAGTCTATCTGCAGCACTAAAATCAGGCTGTGTTCTCACACATGCTTCCACGCTGAGTTTCACTTGTCTTCAAGTGGCTTAAAACCTCAGAAGAACAGTATAAACACTATCTACTATGTCCTAGAGTTTTATCTGGCATAAAATATATAAGTGGGTCTTAATTTAAGCAACTGAGTTGATCCTTTAAAACCCTGTGTGATTCAAGTTTCAAGCCTTTGTCATTCACGATCATTTCACGGGCCTCTGGTTCTCACAGGGCAACAGGAAGACCCTGCACTCTGCCTCGGGACCTGGCTCTTCCTCTCCTCCAACCTCACCTCGGTCTGTGACGCTGCCCCTTCCCTGCACTGCGGCTGTGCCAACTCACTCTTCTCACCCTTCATATCTCTGCTAAATGCCCACCTCCTCACAGAGCTCTTTTAACCTATTGTTCGTCTTCATTTTGGTGAGACCCATGTGTACTTGTATTTATTTGTATGCGTTCCTTCATTTGACAAATACTTACGGAGTGCCTTCTGGGTGTCGGGCCCTGTGCTGGGCAGTGGAAACAGAACAGTAAACAAAACAGACCAGCCCTGCTCTCAGGGAGGTTATGTTCTAGTTGGGGAGACAGACGACATTATCATTTAGTATATTTGATAATGATGACTGCTACAGAGAAGAATAAAGCAGGAAATGGGTGCTGGGTTACAGTTCTAAAATAGGTAGTCGTGGTAGGCCCCACCGAGAAGTTACCTTTTACCTGTTACTTTTAATGTCTAGAAACAAACCTAAATGTTCAGCTCCATAGGTCAGAGAGCATTTTGTGCTGTTTCCTTACCACATATTGGGGAGGTGCTTAACACAAGGTGTTGTCTTTGCTGAGGGATAAGTTCATCACTCAGAAGACTCTGCTCTCGAAGGGAAGTGCAGATGTGCTCCTCATTCTCCCTGCAGAGCACAGTGGGCCAGAACTGTCAGGGGCTAGAAACCTATTTATCTGGCAAGGGTCAAAAGGTCCTTTCTGAAAATCAACGTCAGAGTCCCATAATCTCCATTCACTATAATTAAACTAATGTCTGCTTTCTTCCTCAAAAGCAGTGCCTCTGAAAAACCTAGAGGTAACTGACCGTCATTCGTGATGGGAACCCATGTGGGTTCATTATGATGTCCGGACAAATGCCAGAATCACAAAATGGCATGTCTTCCTGGGGTACAATCAAGCCACAAACACCTGGGGGAGAGAAGATTTCATGCCATGTAAAGCAAATTGGCAGAAAGGAAGAATACAGTACTTAATTGGGATCTCCCTGCTGCTATCTCTATTTCCACTGCTCTAAAACCTTCCCCATGGTCTCTATCAAGAGTAACAAAAGCAATTTCCAACAATCCTGCGAGACAAACAGTTCAAAAACGACTCTCCTTGCAGAGAGGCAGTGCAGCCTGTGGACTGTCCTGCTGGCATGACACACAATGGTGTTGTCAGGCTGCTTGCCCACCCTCCCATGCCACAGAGACCGAAGAGTAGTGACTTCAGGCGGCCCTGGGCCTGCCAGTGTCCTCAGAGCTTTAAGCCAGCAGCAATTTTGGTCCTTATCAGCTAGGTTGTGAGCTGCTAGGTTCTGCACCCAAATCATAAGCATCTAAGTTCCCTGACCACCAAACACAGAACTGACTGAATGAGGGGTATGCTTAAAAAGTAGTTTTAAAAAACTGTAACAAGAAGTACTCATGTGTGGCTGATGTGCTAATAGGTCTACCTATTGGCTGCAGAATGCTGGCTGGCTGGTTGGCTGATTTTTGCCAGAGCTTTTCTGGCTGAGCCTAAACTGCCCAAAAGAATTTTAATTCCTATAGCTTATAGCACATTAGAAAAGTGATCTTTGATTGAACTTGTAAAGTTAAACAAGAAAGTTAAATGCCACATCGTTCTTGGGGAAAAGGCCTAGAATTAGAAATGGAATTCTAGGAATGAAAACAGAACAAAACAAAAACCTACCAACTCTATGCGTACTATTGACAGTCTCTTAAATTCATGTACTTTACTATTCCCTTAATATTATTCTAACCTGTAGGGAATTTTGTCCCTAAATAGTTTTTGATTCCTCTGATTTCTTTTTCTTGGGAGGAGAAGTATGGGTAGAATTTAGATCGTTAACCACAATCTTCATAATGTGGAATCAAAAAACTAGTGTACAAGGGCACTGGACTAAAAAAAATGCTTTTAAATTTGCAGAAAGATAAAATCACTTTTCTCTGTGGATAAAGTTACTAACCAGCTGTACCCACTGAAAAGAAACTGCTCTCAAATTTTTCATTCCCCAGTTTGACTTCTACATAATTACTCAAACTACTTTTGCAATTTGTTATAATCACCAAGAGCTAAAGGGAAAAAAATGTCATTTGCTTTTTTAATATTAGTTATTAATATTCTCATTTCTAGTGCCTGTGAACAGTATGGTAATTAGGTTTTGTGGAGTTGAACTGTAGAGCATGTAGTTACTTTAATTACCTTTTTGGTTGAAATGGTATTGTTTATTATAAAAAAAAGTATGCTCTCAACAGAAACAATCATCCAGTTCCCCTTATTTCAAATTCAGCTACAGTGTATTAGAATTTAAATCAAGCAGTGTGACCCTTTTTTCTTCCCTTCAAAAATCCATCTTATCCACACTGAAATTATCTGACGAACCCTAGGGATACTGGGAAATCTACTTTGAAAGAGATCAAATTGTAAATCTATGTGCACCGACAACAACATTGTTTAGCAGTGAACACAATGTTAAAAATGGCAATTCCTAAAGGGGCCGGTCCTGGGACGAGCTCGGGTAAGAATGTTATTTTGGCTGGTGAGGAGATGGAGGGTTCAGTTATATCCCTTAAAAACAAAACCAAAGAAAACCCTGAGCACCCCTTAAGCAGCAGTTCACAGGGGGATGCCGGCGTCTGCTCAGGAGGAAACTGTCCATCCACCTTGCAACAAGAGAAGGTGGGAGTGAGGGGCAGAGGCACAGAAGCTGACCGAGGAAGCATGACTACTCATGTTGGGGGAGGGTAAGGAGAGAGGTGACTTGCATTTGTGTTTTCAGTTTTAGTTGACATGTTTAATCCAGCAAATTCAACTTTACTATGTTATTAAAAATGAAAGAAATGCTTGTTCCCCTAAAATCTGAATTGCTAATAACTTTGCTTGAAATCTGATTAATATTTAGTACAAAGTTTCCTTTTTGGGAAGTTGTTTTATCAGCCCCTTTCTGACATTTTGTTAAAAAAATTACCTATCAGTAGCTTTCGGAATTTTTCATTCCACTGTAGAAACTGCTTTGGCAATCTCTGAACCAATGGTACCTGTAAGCCAAAACTTAAATCTTAGCTAAGTTAAAATTACTTTAGGCTCTGAAAACCCTTTTATATGCCAAGATGGTTCCCATAGCAGACAGCCCTGTGTTGTTTGTTTTGTGTGAAAGTGAATGATAAAAGATCCATGAAATCGACACAGAAAGCCAGAACAGCAGAAAGAACTGAGGGCTCTCCATCATCACGGCTTCTACCCTCTGCTGACTTGCGGAACAATGGAAGCTACACATCCAACTGCAGATCTAACACAGCTGTGCATTTCATTAGATGAAGAGCACTAGTGACACAAGTAAATAATTAACTTATTCTGGTCCGCTGACTGTGCTTATGAGACCAGTCATAGCTGACAGATTTTAATACAAGTTAACACAAAGAGACCATAATGAGCTTAGAAGTTAAAACAAAATATTTAGACAGAATTTGATGATCTTGAATCTCAAATGAGACAGATGATTTTTAAAAGTTTGTATTTTAGTGAATTCATGAGGGGTAAAAAGGGAGTTCTCAATCTTAGAAGTAGACTTTTTTTTTTTAAAGGTATTTCTGTTTCAGAATTATTCAAATCCTTAATAACAGGGGAAAGGTTTCTTATTTTCAACAAAAAATTAAAGCTCTGTTTTCTCCAGGGACAGAGGCATAAAATCCATTCCAATATTTAGAACTCTTAAAAGTTATGGTCACTTTCCTTTAATACTGGTTTAAAAATGTAAATGATATGCAGTTCGCTTCAGTGTGTTAACACTCCCCTGGATCCTTGAAAAGAAGATGGACTACAAATAAACCATATCTAATGGAAGCTGTTGTGAAACAATTACTGATTCATACCTTAAATGCTTACACAGCATTTCAGATTTTAAAATAAAATTTCATCCCCTGGCTCATGCTGGTGTTTCAACTCCATTGTTTATAGCACAACCTCCTGGTAGTAAAATGCAAACACACCAGTTTAACATGCCTAAGAACAGTTAATGCACTCACTGGAGCCAACTGGGACTATACTATAGAGACTACACTACAGAACTTTAAGCAAATCACAGAAAGTTACAGCAGAAAGAGACTGCAGATATTCAGTCAACGAAATATTATTCCACCACCATCAATCTTAATTTGAAGTTGTAAAGGGAAGAATTTAGGGAGTCTAAAGAAGCCACAATTCTGACTGCCAATCCACTCAGCAGAGTCAAATGTCACTAGGACCCACTGTCACTGTTCTCTGCGTCATGCCCCAGACACCAGAGGCTCCTACACCAATTTACTTCTATTTCTGGGGCCTCATAGAACAACACGGAAATCACTTAAGAATAGGCTTATCCAGCAAAAGTCCAGTTAATCTCATGAATCATTTCATTTTCTTAAAAAGTACTTCTAATTATAAACAGCAACTGGCTCAAGAGTTGTTTTTGGCTTTTTAAAAAAAATACTAGTTTTCTGTACTATCTATCTAATGGACTACCAATTAAAATAGAAAAAAATAAAAGGTAAGAACATCAGAAAAAAGGTAAGAAAAAATTAAAGCATTCTAGTACTACGTACAGATAGGAAAGCAAATAGCAAATTCAGAACACAACTGTAATGACATCTTTAATTCAAGAGCTATTTTGATGTGTGACTTCAGTGAGTTGAGACCTGAATGGTTTTCTATTTTGTTGGTAGCCAGGTCTCATTTTAATATCACACATTACTTTTTAATTTTTATTTAGCAAGTCTACTTTCTATGTATTATAACAACTTTTGGGTTAAATTTGCCACTCTGAAATTGATATATCTTATTACTCTTCCTTTTCCAAGTGAGGAAAGAGAAAAAGAACCTTTTCTCTCAATTACTAAGCATATGCTGCGTACCAAGTGCTGTGAAGAGGTAGGGAGAGAAAGAGGTTAAGGGCCTGACCTCTAGATAGGCAGAGGCAGCCTATGCAGACTAACCTGAGTGAATATTGAAAACAAAAACGTTTATACAATTCAGCTCGCCACATTCTAATGATCTAAATGATGCAGCGCACACCTGGCAGTACGGTCTGCTGAAATTCTGCTCACCAGAGTCTAAATTGCCTATTTTACTTTCTGCAGATACTTAGCTGTCAGACAAGGCTATTTATTCTGCAGTTTAACACTCTGCACTGAATGAAGGTCGAAATGATGCTGTGATTTTTGTCTATCAGTAAAGGAGTGAACACTTTACCAATGCCCAGTATTAATGAGTTTACACATATGGGAGGAATGCCATCTATAAAGAGTTCATCATCCCTGGGACCCTCAGACCTATGTAGGGCAGGATATCAAGGAATCCGATGACCTTAATTTGACTCTCCACTGTTCAAATGATATTGAGTTCCCTTGGGGGTTAGGGGGAGGGAGTGCCACTTTCTGTTGAGACTTAGTTGTTTGGTCTTTGTAATGGGAATAATTAGCACCTATCTTATGCAGCAATTGTGTTAGAAGAACAGATGAGCTAATGTCTGAGAGGTACTTTAAGGTCCTTAGAAAAGGGGGGAGGGAGTGCCACTTTCTGTTGAGACTTAGTTGTTTGGTCTTTGTAATGGGAATAATTAGCACCTATCTTATGCGGCAATTGTGTTAGAAGAACAGATGAGCTAATGTCTGAGAGGTACTTTAAGGTCCTTAGAAAAAGGCTGCATCTAAGTACAAGGAATTATTATTATATAAGAATCCTAATTACTCTCAGCAGGAAGCAAACTAGCAAAGCAAAGGAGACCAGCTTAATGAATACAAGGGGCAGTTGCAGTTGCACTAACTCTGGCTGAAGAGGCCTAAAAGAAGCTCACTCCTTGGTGGCTTGTTCAGGTCGTTTAACATTATTAAGACACTGTCTCCTAATAACTTTAGAACTTCACAGGGCTTGGGGCTGTGGATTTCTAG